GTAGGAAGCAGTCAAAGAAGAAAGAGGGGAAGGCCGTGCAAATTAACTACAAACTCAAAGTCTTCGATGACAAGTATGTAAATGCTTTAAACCACAACTTTTTGCTGGTCATTTTGTAATAATTTTTTTAAAGATACAGAGATATGCCATATAACATGCAGGTCAGGAGGACCTTGGCTCTGGGGACATTGCTGATGAAGTTGTACAAGTGGTTGTGAAAGACCTTACAACTAATGAAGTTGAGTGGCTGACACAGGCAAGGATGGAACCTAAAGGTATGGAGGGCTTTAAACCTGAGTTATTCTATGCCTTCCTGCAAGGAACATCTGTTGTGGAAGTTTAAGCTAAGAAAAAGGAGGTTTCGGATTTATCAACCAATACCCAGAATGCAATGAGCCATATAATGAGGATACCACTGGGAAAGAAAGATAAACTGCTAAATGAAACTACTGTGGAAGTATTAGACAAACAGCTGTAGCTGTCATCAAAAGGGTGACTAAAGCAAACAGACAACTTCATAACTTTCAACTGTGATGACATAGATATTGATTTTAGGAGTTGCCACCCAGTCATCCTGCAACATTAGGTTCGCTTATAGCATGGCATGCTTTTAACTTCTGTCGTGGATAAACTTATTTTCTGTTTTTTCATAGATGTCTTAGAAAGATTAAATTCTCTTGTTGATTTTTTAAATGGGCACTACAACAAAACCAGTTCTAAGTTTCTGATTCTCCATTTCTTTTGCCATGTTTGTTCAACTGAATAATAGCATTGGTTCCTGAAATCTTTCCTAGGAGAAGGGACACTGAAGTATTGGTTCTCTTGTTTGATACAACCTCTTGTCTAGAAAAATGAAGTGAATGTATATAAGCAAATCATGGTATACTGGTTGGTTCATCACGTGGGAGATATTTCTCCAGAAAGTTGATAGCATGAGAAGATACTTTTCCTTTTCTCTTGGCCCTCCCTCTTTCTCACGCACTCTTTAGTCTTTACCATAAGAAAAACGGGAAGCATGGAAAGCTACACACAGATTTGAATATATGTATCCATTACTAAAGCCTGATTGGAATTATGCAGTTTCTCAAAATTCTTCAAGAGAGAGAAGCAGTGAAGTTTCCAAGACAGATTTCATGTCAAGGGAAGTTGATGCAGCTGCATCGAAGAATGTAGCTGATGATGATCAACCTCTATCAACCTGGTTTGGGGGAGCGCATGCTTCAACAAATCTTGGAGAACTAAGTAAGTCAAAACATTTGAATGATCCCTCTTGTAATTTTGCTTATTGTATATTTCCTGTTCAGGATCATCTACTGGTAGGGCTGCAAGTGGAGGGAGTGAGGCTAGAGAAAAACAAGCTGTAGCAGTGGAATCTTGTACAATCGATGCAAAAGGCAATGACCCTCTGGTGGAAAATCAGTCTGTACCTTTTGTAAAGAGGTCTCCAGTTTGGAACACGATTGAATCCATGGAAGTATTCCAAGCCATCCCGCAAAAACTGCATTTTCATCCTTTGACTGAATGTAAAGAAGAGTATCGTGAAGGATCAGCCATTGGTATTATGGTAACATTTGCAAGTTTGTTTGATAAGATAACCTCACTTCAGTTTGATGATTGTAGAAGCATATTAGAGAGCACATTGGAAAGTCTTCTTGACTTGGAGAAGCATGGATTTGATATCACTGTGCCACGTGGTAGGTTGAATGAATTGCTTTCAATTAAAGATGGGCAAGGGGAGGTACTAAATGAATCCAAAGATGCTGAAGGGAAATTACGAGTGCATACTGATGAGAAAAGAAAGCTGGAAGAGAAGAGGAACGATATTGAAAAGAAGATTACTGAGCTACAGGAAGAACTTGCTTTAACCAAGGCGAAGATGGAGGTTAAGAACCTTGATCTTTCCGAGTTGCAATCCCATACTACTGCCATAAATGAACGGATTAAAAATGCTCGGGATCATTTCGGGAAAGTAGCCTCTGCTCCTTGGAACCCCCCCTGATGCACTGTAATCTCAATGAGTTGTCTTGCCCCCTGCACTTGGGTAAGTGGAGCGTAGCTTGTTACGTTAGTGCTTCAACGTAATGATCATGAAAGTGTAGTTAGCTAATTTCAGCTTTGTATTTATTACCTTTGGCTGTTTTGCATGGTTAATGATGAAATCTTTTTGGTGCCAAGTGTATGGGAATGTAGTTCGTCTCGAAACGGTATGAAAGCTTTAATTTGGTTGGATCTTATCATCATTCAGGGTGATGGGTCATCTTCATGTTCAGAACATTAGATGTACCACCAAGTATTTGTATGATAAATTTCATGTTCAGAACTTTAAAGTATACGAGGGCTTGAATGATCATGTATATCATTGTCCAACAAACAAAGCAATGATCGTGTATAGAAAATACAAGAGAGAAGGAAACAAAACAAAATATTAAACATTTTCTGAAGGGTTGAAAGCGTTTTGGTGTCAACCTTTTGTAATTATTTATCAAGTTAATGCATTTATAATCTTGTAGGAAAAGAGTTTGAAATTCCTAATCATTGAAAGTTTTGTTCTTTCCTTTTGTCGGAGAATCATAAGCATGATTAAATTTGTTTAGGATTTGTATTAATTTCTGTTTTGTTTTCTAAAATTTCCATCATAAAATCAGAATTGCATATGAAAGGTAATTCTTAATTTGAGATATTTAGCAACAATGTTGCCTCATAATTTGTTTAAATAGTGGTTTTGGTCGCGGATTTGCGAGTGATAAATAGCAATCTTGTCATGAGTTTATGATTTATTTTTAACTGTAGAAATACATGTTTTTTTTTAAAAAACTTTCTGTTAAATATATTCAATAATAACAACACATCCAGTAGTCAAAATTCATATAAACAAGTATGTTATAGCTATTAAAAAGGGGAATAGATGAAAACAAGAATTTGGAATACAAAAACTACATAAAGAGACAATGCAATAGGAAAAAAGTTGCTTCAATTATTTTTATGCTTTTTTTTTTTTTATCATTTTGATACATTGATATCAAAAATAAATTTTAAAAAATAAAAACTATTATAATATATTTTTAAATAAAAAATACTTTAAAAAATAATTAGTATCATAATTTTAAACAATATCAAAATACATATATATTTTGGAGAGTAATTGTTAATTTAAAATAGCTATATCACATTATTTTCATTAAATAAAAATTATCAGGTAAGCTGTTAGCCATTCATTTTTCTTTTCTAGAAGGCTTAGCTTAAAAAAGTACTAGTGTTGAATCGCGTGTTACGGTTGGTTTCTCAAATATAATCATTCAAAAAAATATTTAATATTTAATATAAGTACAGCTAACAAAATAACGAATTAGATTTCATGAAATTACTTATATATGTTTTTAGTCAGATTATTCGCGCTGATTACGGTTGGTTTCTCAAATATAATCATTTAAGAAAACATTTAATATTTAATATAAGTATAGCTAACAAAATAATAAATTAGATTTCATGAAATTACCTATATATTTTTTTAGTCAGATTATTCGCACCGATTATTATTAACATTATTTTTAGTCAGATTATTCACACTTATTATTATTTATATTTGCATTCATATTTAGAAAATTGTAGTTAGTTAGCAATTGTTTGAGAGTTATTAACCTATAATGTGGTCTTATATTGCGAAAGCGAAAATTATTGCACCCATCATATTTATGATAGTATTCTTCTTTTTTTTCCTAGAATAGTAAAAAAACCTTTTGTGATTTGTTAAAAAAATTCCTTTTAATTTGAAGGTAGAAAACTACTAGAATAAAATAGCACAAAATTTAAATATATTTCATATTATATAGTTTTGTAGAGGATTTATACAAGATTATATTTATTTAATTAAAACCATTAATGTTATGGTGTGTCTTATTGAAAAAAGAAAAAAACTAATCCTATTTCTTAAAAAGTAAACACATGCTTGTTCATAAAACTATAAAATAGTTTTTTTTTTAATATTTATTTTATTTAAAGCTAGATAGGTGGTTTACTTTACCTTGTGGGCCGGGTAAAAGAAAATTTAACATAAAAAAATAAATTAGATGACACCAATGTATTTAAAGAAGAAAAATATGTGGCCTTATTCATTGGCTTAACTAAATTCGATAAACTTTGTTAATTTAACAATATAGTTAAAAAATGCATTGACCGTAAAAGTGAACAAAAATAATTTGGCAATAATATGCATACTTGGAAGTGAAAAAAAGAAGAGCATGTTGGAGACTCACTATCAATCTATCCACCACCAAAAAAACATTTATTTATACAATTCTAACATAACTATAAGAGATTACACTATGATAATAAAAGAGGTCACATGTCATATTAAAGCAACGATTTAGAAAACAAATAAAATAAAATATTATAAAATATTTTATATTTAACCAATTAATTTAATTTAAGTAAAAAATATTCTATAAAAATCTAAATTTAATTAAGAACAATAAATATAAAGACCCAAAATAACCTGAATCATTTTTAAAATTACTTAAAAATCCTATATAAAACAAATAAAAATAATAATAGAGTCCAATCTCCAAAAACATAAATTTTGGAGGATAAAACTAAAAAAACAAAGTAAATTCAGGTAAATCTCCTAAACCTAAGTTAATTTTTTAAATTTATAAACCATGAAATCCTAGACCGGACTCAATCAAGAATTCAATTCCAAACATTTTAATATTGAAGGATGAGATAAAAAATTATCAATTTAAAAAATTTATCAAAGTAAAAAAAAAAAAAAATGAGAATCAAACATGATATGAAAAAAAAATTAAAGGAGGATGAACATAAAAACAACTTTATTTTTATAAATTATTTCAAATAAAATATATAATAATAAAAATAATAAGTAACACATCTTAAGGACAAATAAATTGAAGGTTGTTTAAAGATTTGAAATATCATGCTTGGAAATAAGGAGAGAGAGAGAGAGAAAAGAAATAAAAGAAAAAGCTATTGGTACCAAATCATAGATGAGGAAGTCACATAAACCATTTAGAAATGAAAGGGCTGCTGAGATGATTTCAATGTTGCAGTGGAAGGCATGTTTGACAATTAGGAGATGTTTTATATGCTATTTGAAGATTATAAATATCACTTATTAGCTGACACGTGCTAATTATTTTTATTTTTAAAAATATATTTATTTCTATTCAAATACTAAACTGCCTTTCAGGCAAACTGATTAAAATTAAAAAACTAGAGTGAAAACATAAAAAGCTTCCGGTTCTTTTTAGGTAAAAAAATCATCATGTGCCGGTCTACTACTGAGTTTTAATTGTACCACCCCCTTTACTTAGCTTTGATCCTTACCAAACCCTTTCTGCTTGAACTTTTTGGACGCGCTGACCCATCCGTGACATTTCTTCTTTGTTTTGACCTCAACGCATTGGTTGACTTATCATTGAACAATAAGAAGAAGACACATGGCATGCAAAAAAACAGAAAAAAAATTATGAATACTTTATTAAAATTGAATAAAAGTTTTAGCAATATTTTAAATATTTACTAGGAATGTTTTTCAATTTGTTAAAAAAATAAATTAAAAAAACATTTTTCTATTTTCTATTTTTTCTTTTTATTTTTCAATTTCACTGAAGTAGCGGCCATATCGCTACTATCGCCATGGCCAAATTACTTTTAAGACTGCTTCATAACAATTTCAACGTTGATTGTGTTCATGCACTTTATTAGGTCAAAGCTAAGTTCGGTGGTCGACTTCGACTGACAATATGCGGAGGTGCATCCTTGAGCACTGAGGTGGAAGAATTCTTGCGGGTTACTTGTTGTGCCTTTGCAGTCCAAGGCTATGGTAAAGAACTTCTTCCTTAACAATAAAGAGAAATATGAGCTGTCCATGTAGAGTAATTATGTTTGAAATGAAGAAATAATGGTCTGATCATATAGTTTAAAGTACTCCGTCATAGTCTCGTACAATAGTTCGAGCACTGACATGGCCGCTCATCTGAACATATGAGTACTGTTCTTCGTATGAATTTTGTTATTTTAAATTATCATCTTTCAGAGTTCAAGCATTAATTATAGCAAAGATCTGATTCATCTCCCTATGCTATAAGTTTAGTGGAGGATTACATTTCTTTTTATATTGATTTAAGACGTACATAACCATTCATATCGTGTTTCTTTCAGGGTTGACAGAAAGCTGTGGACCAGCCACTATGGGCTTTTCAGATGAAATGTGCATGCTGGGTCTGCAGCTGTGTACAATGAGCTGCGCCTGGAGGAGGTTCTGGGGATGGGACACAATCCACTCGGCAATCCTCCTTGCGGCGAGATAAGTCTCCGAGGGAAGAGTCTTTTTTCTGGGTATTACAGGAATCCAGAGCTGACAAGAGAAAGCATGAAAGATGGGTGGTTCCATACAGGCTAAACAGCCAATATTTCTTGTCAAACAGAATGATTCTACATTAATTTGTGTACTAGCTCTTTCACTCTTTGGCATTTTCAGGAGACATAGAAGAAATTCTTCCAAATGGGGTTGTTAAGATTATTGATAGGAAGAAAAATCTTATAAAGCATTCCCAGGGAGAATATATTGCTGTTGAGTATTTGGAAAATGTGTATAACAACACTCCAGTTGTTGACGACGCAAGTGTCTTTCAGCTTCTTGATTGAATGTTTTATCATTTGATCACCAGGTGTACTGAAGTTTGATTGAAATTGCGTTATCATTTCTTTGTTAAGATTTGGGTGTACGGAGACAGCTTCAAGTCAATGCTAGTTGCAGTAGTAGTGCTTCATGAAGAGAACACAAAGGGCTGGGCGATCTTGAATGGTCATAAGGATTCATTCACTGAACTTTTCTCTCTTGCTCAGCTACAGAAATTTGTCCTCTCAGAGTACAGCTGAACGAAACAAGGTAGTCTTTGCTGAATTTCTAACCACATGTTACTAATTTCCTTTCAGGCTTTCCGCTGTCAGCTCTACTTTTTGCTACAGAGAATTGTTTGCCCCTTTTTAAAATTCATCCTATTTCACTTGATATTCAAATACCAGTAATTAATTATGACCGAGAACCTCGGAAGTTATCTGCGTCACTTCAAGCCAGCTAATAGTTTTTCCCATTTCTAATTATCTAGTTCAATAATCAGTTGAGGTATTGAACATATCAAAGGAGTAATATTGGAATCCTGCCCCTTTGACATGGAAAGGGATTTGGTGACTGCAACATTGAAGAAGAAAAGAAACAAGTTAGTTAGCCACTATCAGGTAAATATATGAATCACTTCCTTCTAGTTCTGTTTGCATCCTGTTTAACAATTGCTTCCAAGGATCCGACTTAATTAACGATGACAGGCAGAAATTGATAAACTTTATCGAAAGCTGGCCGAAGTACGAGCATGAATTATGATCGGTTAATCCAGATTCAGGGAGTGCGCAGTGTTGGTGTTCTCCTCTGCTTTTAGCAGAGTGCTTGTCACAAGAATATTTTGCGATGGTGGTACTTCCTGAAAGTATTTTGTCTTGCATATTTTTGGATTAAAGACCAAATTTTCATGGAAAGAGAAGGCAAGCAAGAACCGAAAAGGCATGCCTTCTTAGTTCTTAGTATACAAAAGCTAATAATGCTTTGTTTGGTAATTCGATTTATCCTGCTTTTTATTTTTAGAACTGTTTTTTTAGTTATTTTTAGATCATTTTAATATATCAATATCAAACATAAAAAATTTATTTTAATATATTTTCAATTTACAAAAATTAATTCCTAAACACTGGCTACATTGTCAAGACACAACAAGCAAGTTAAATCATCTTCAAACCCGATAAAGCGAGTATAACATTCACGTGGTGGTCTGCTCTTTACGGGGCGACAACTCTTCAATCCTATCGGAGCGTGTAATCTTCTCTGATGACTCAAAACAGATAACCATGTCAGCTTTGCGGGTGACAATAATGATGATCAGAGGCTTCAACAATGGGAGAGTGCTCGACATGAAGAAGTAATGTTGAGACTTGAGATGCCTCTATGTGGTCAATTCGCTGATGCTTTGGTCCAAATTTGATGCATGCCTGTTAGGATGGATCCTCAACTGGAACGGGCAAGGAAAGAAAAAGACACATACATAGCGGCGATGCAAGCATAGAATCCACTCCAAACGTCCCAATCACTTCTTGACCTAGCACGGGCGGGTTTACTTTAGCTTATTTGTTCACCCACTTCTTGACCTAGGTGGGATTACTACAGCTTAATTGTTCACCCAATATTTCGAAAGATCCTTAATACTGGTTCATTTATTTATTTATTTATTTTAATCAAGGCACAGTGTTTAGCAATTAATCAGTAAGCAGGTAACACAAATTTGATCGAGTGTCTTCCCAGGTAAATAATAAATATCATAGACTGCAACGATTCCACATCCAAAAACAGATGTGGAGGCTTAAAACACAATAAAAATGACGATACAAAAGCTACTGATTGAAGAAATGGTACAGGCCAACTTGGCCAAAGCAACTGGATCCATAAAGGCAGTTGTCTCGCAGAAGAGTACTAAATAGCTTCTAAAGAACAACTGCACTTCTCTTTTCTAGACAAGAAAAACTGGAAGGGTCCAGCAACTCATGGTGCATTCATTTTCTGTTCTTGTTGTCCTCCCTCTCCCTCTCCCGCTTCTTGTAAAGCTTTTCAAGAACCCGCTTGGCCTCACATTGTGGGAAGTTATCCAACTCATAGTAATGTGATGCTATGTCCACCAACCTGAGCACCAAAAAGTAAAAGTCGAGCATTTAGAGACACCATTAAAAAGGCATCAATCACTTATTCAGTCCCAGAATCGACAATTATTCATTAAAATATTAAAAAACACATTATTATGTCCACTTGCTATTGACTGCAACCAAATTCTAACATGGTCCTTAAAGATGAGATATAAACACAAACAAGCACTAAATGAAGGATAAACTAACCATTCACCACGAATGTCTAGCACGGTACGAATATAATTCCTGCTGGTTAGGACATACTCGTTGTAAATAACCCACTCTGGCTTGTGATCCAAACAATTTGATGGATGCAAATGCACTGCCTGAAAAACAAATTAACACCACCAAGCAAAATTGTTATATAACAAACATCTTTCTATAATCAATCTTTGAAAGAAAAGAACATTAGAGCATCACTGCAAAAATAATAAGTTGAAAATACATGTTTAATTTTCCACATACTTGGTTGTCTTTCACTGTCAAATAGTGTCCAGATCGTTCAAGGTGAGCAACCTGCATGAAGTATCCGGCTAATATAGCTTTTCTTATGTTGATGTAGTAGTCACGGCTGTTGAAGTCAGTGCTGCATAACTTGAGGTTAAACCTGGCCATGATACGCACAAGCTGTTGTCTTACATTGTCAGCAGCCTTCAATGCCCTATGATTGATAAAATTTTCATAGCACCAGGATGGATCCTCATCTGCCATTCATTGACCAAAACGTAAGAAAAATGACAATTATCTTGGACAATCAAATTTTAGAAAAAGAGAAATAGAATAGAGTAGAAGTACTCACTGTTTTGCTTAAATGCATGGTATACGTTCAACAGCGTGAGGTGATCCCCATCAATGTGCCCAAACCTAGCCTTCGCTTCATCGGCAGCCTTTTGAGCCTCCCTAGGGCGGACAAAGCAATTGGGTACTAAAGAAAGAATTTGGTTACCACAGAAGAGGCCCATGGTAGGTCAGCAGATGCAAACAGGCGAGACGATACCATTTGCTTCATGAGATAATACTGAGAAACTGCAACTATCTGTATCAGCACTAACTTAGAATCTGATGGTGCATGCCATCCGGGGGCATGGAACCCATACACGACAGTTGCTGATGACAACCTAATTGGACACATCAATTATTTAACTGCACACATGCGCACTTGCAAACACATGTAAGCAGTTAAACAATTAACACGGTGCACAGAAAACTGGCTGCACACATGACATAGAAGAGGGATGCATCTGATAATACAGCAACCCAATGGCATCTACTCCCCTTAAATCATTTAGACCAGACTCAAGACCGCTTGAAATAAAATAAACATGTTTGCAAAAAATACCTGAAAGCATGGCCGAAATTGAAAGAATTTCATTCGAACAGTTGAATTCAGGACTCACAACGAGCATCTTTGACAGTTGAGGATCCAAGGGAAATTCACTCATGATCTCCCCAAGCTTTGTCATGTTCCCCTCATCATCCAATGCTCCCAAATAATTCAACACCTCCAATGCTCGCATCAATGTCTCAGGGGCAGGAGGATCCATGAAATCAAAGTGCACCAGATCATCAATCCCCAATTTCTTCAACGTTAGAACTGTATTTGCCAGGTTTGACCGCAATATTTCTGGAAAGGTCTGTGGCTGGAGATCCTGATTGAAACTCTTCTCTGTGTAGAGTCTAAAACATTTGCCTGGTTGAGTTCTTCCAGCACGTCCTGATCTCTGGTGAGCACTAGCCTTTGATATGGGGGAAACTAACAAAGATTCAACCCGAACTCGGGGGTTATAAACCTTCTGTTTAGAAAAACCAGGGTCAATAACATAGACAATACCATCTATAGTCAAAGAAGTTTCCGCAATGTTTGTTGACACCACAATCTTCCTTCCAGACGGGCCACCCTCCTGTAGTGGAGGTGGAGCAGGTTCAAATATTTTTTGCTGCATGGCCGGTGGAAGCGTAGAATATAGAGGCACTATTTTCACTGGCCCTACTTGGTCCCCTAAATTTCCAATTTCTTTTGTTATTTTTCGGCAAGCATCTTCTATCTCCTCCTCACCAGTTAGGAAAACAAGTATGTCCCCATGGGGTTCACACAAGTGTATCTGGACAACTGTCCGAATAGCTGCCTCTAGGTAATCTCTCTCAGGCTCCTGGGTATAAAAAATCTCAACCGGATGAAGCCTGCCAGGAACTTTCATAAGAGGTGCTTCACCAAAATAACCCTGAAATTTCTCAGCCTCTAGTGTTGCACTCATTACAACTAGCTTCAGGTCAGGCCTATTTTTCAGCACTTCTTTAATAAGTCCAAATAGCACATCTGTTGCTAGAGTTCTTTCATGAGCCTCATCAAGTATTATTACTTTGTACCTTTCCAAAAGCGGATCTGTCATTGCCTCTCTTAAAAGCATACCATCAGTCAGATACCTGCCAGAAAGGAATAAGAAAAATTAGCACACAACTTAAATCCAAGAATCTTGGGAAAAAAAAAAGAAGTAACATAGAGGAGCTGAAGAACTCACTTCAAAACCGTTCTTGCACTGCTACAGTCTTCAAAACGGATGCTATAACCAACCTCTTCACCTATAGTAACGTCCATCTCCTCAGCAACACGCCTAGAAACAGACATTGCAGCAACCCTTCGAGGCTGGGTACACCCAATCATCATTTTCCTGCGTCTATCTGAAGATTCTAATTCGACAGCCTCCAAAACAAACTGAGGAATCTGTACCATCACAAATTTCTAGTTAGTTAGGTATTGCTCCTTTTTTTTTTTTTGTCTAGTTTTCGTTACATTGTATACCCACAATTAAGCATAGCATAATTCATATATGGGAAACCGAAAGTAAATGCTTTTTTATTATTATTTTTAAAGTGAAAATATATCAAACTGTAATATAATCCATTCCTTTCCTCTCACCCCCAAATAAAAAAAATGGAATTCTATTTTTTTTTAATCTACGATAACCTAAGCTCGCTAGTTTTCTACTAACGTATTTGCACGCAAGAGAGCTGGTCGATGATAAAAAAAAAGACAAACAAATGACAGCACGAACAGCACACAAAACTATAATTAATCAAAAAACAAGGTATAAAAAATGGAAAAAGAAAAGGGAATAAACCTGAGTAGTTTTACCACTACCAGTCTCACCAACAAGGACGAGAACCTGATTTCTCTTCAAAACCTGTAAAAAATCCTCTTTCTGATGCCAAACAGGCAAATTCTTCCTCTTCTCTAATATCTCGTAGTATCTCTGAGAGTAAGGCTTCCCGTTCCACCGATTTATCGAGCTGCTTCCTTCATTGTTATTGTTGTTCATCGCTCCGTTCGATTTCAACAACTTTGCAGAAACCGACGCCTCGTCTACCACGTCAAACAAACTCACCTTCCTCTTCCTCTCTGTACCCATCATCCAAACAAACCCTAGCGATTATGGAATCGAATTATTATCGTGAAAGAAAGAAAACCCTTAAAATGTTAAAAAAACAAGAGAGAGACAGATGATAGGAGGCTAGGGCGAGAATGTACTGTCTGATGGGAGATGGAAGGAACTTTAGCGATTTGCTGATCGGTCCCTTTCCTTGTTATATTTTTCAATTGAAAGGACCGGCCTGCAATGAAACTAGGTGTAAGTGTGGACAGAAACTGGGCCTGTTGATCAATACTGTGTGGACAGAAACTGGGCCTGTTGATCATTACTTTTTTTTTTAAAATTATTATTATTATGATAAAGGTTTAATTAAAACTAATTATAAAGTATTAAACTTGCATGTGTGAAAGGTATAAGACTTGTGTTCTACACGAGACTCATCAACAAGTACTCTTAGATAGGAAACATGTCTACTCGTCGTCTTATTATTATTATTATTATTATTATTATTATTATTATTATTATTTATTTTGAATTTATAGAAACTTGGCAACTTGGAACTCTTTTGAATCACAGGAATCAGAATGTTCTTATCACCAGATGCCGCACCAGAAGACACCTTATTCTGGCTTATTTAGATTATTATTACTGGAAAAAAAAAAAGGGATTTCACTGTTTCAGTGAATAGCAGTGCCTTTGGTTTAAAACAGCGTTGTTAAGGATATGTTATTGTTTGAAAATATTTAAAAAAAATTGTTTTTTTATTTTATGTTTTAAATTAATATTTTTATGTTTTAAATTATTTTAATATCAAAAATAATTTTTTAAAAATAAAAAATATTTTAATATAATTTTAAATAATTTTTTTTTAAATAATTATAATCACACTCCCAAAAATAAATTATTAGTAAAAAATAACTACATGTTCCGTGTGCTATACTGTGAATCAAATAAAAAATTCTTTGAATAAAAAAAAAATTATGTCAAAGCGTTGTTAATTTGTCTTTTATCACCAAGAAAAAAATTTAAAAATTTAATATGAGTATTTAAATAAAAATAAAATTAAAAAAATCATATATATTTATAAAGGTTAAGAGAGTTGGTGATATTAATTAAAGATTAAACCATAAAACTAAAAGATAGATAACAATCCTTCAAAAAAAAAATTATTTAATCATATGGCGATAAATATCTTTTTGTAACACTTGTAACCGGTACATGAAAACAACATAATTTGATGATATAATTCTATTATTTTACAAAAAAAGTATAACTTTTTTGTTATGTGTTCTTTATCTAATAAAAATAAAAATAAAAATTAATCTATATATATATATATATATTAAAAAAACAAACTAAATGACTTGAATAAGATAAGGAATGCATCTCTTTGATTAAAATCTCTTTATCCTATTCACACACTATATTTTGTGTTATGTTTTTTTTATCACAGCATCTTACCATAATCATATAAACAAGTTTTAATTAAAAAGTTAACATTATAATAATTCAAATCAAATATATTAAAAAAAATACAAGAATAATACACAACCTATATATTACTGTGATGAAAATTTTGGTTGCGTCATCGAGCCCAACTTGCCAGGTAGATTAACTTAAAAATCCCTTAACTTATTTTTTTATTTGACCCTGGTTTTAAATTAATATTAATAAAAAATTAATTTGATAAATTTGATAAATTCAAACATAGTCTAATTATAACCTGATTCTACCCTAAGAAACTTAAGAGGAATCATCAGAACTCTTTTTTATATATAATTACATCAACTTAAATTATCATGTAAATCCATAACTTATTATTTCTGGGCTGTTCATTTCTGGATTTCTTTTTTCTGATTCTATACATGTCCAATGCAGGCTGTCTATGCTTTTTTGTAGTGATGAACATGTCATGAAACATCCATGATTTATTGCCATTTCTGCATTAAATACTGGATCTTTGCAAACCAATTATCCTGATTCAGCCGGCATTATTTGGAAAAGCGATGCATATTATATTTTATAAAAAATAAAATTTTTTATTAAAAATTATTTTTTATATATTTTAAATTATTTTGATGCACTAATCTTAAAAATAATTTTTAAAAAATAAAAAATATTATTTATATATATTTTAATATAAAAATACTTTAAAAAATAACCACATTTATATTTCTAAACATGTATGACGGATGTGATCTAGGTTTGAATTCATTTTTCTTGAATTGGTAATGTAAACAACAACTTTGTCACCCTTCTAAAATGTTTCTCATCAAATGACATTTTTTGCCATCTTACAGTGTGTTAAGTATGTATACAAGTACATATTTAGCACTCGTTGGTCACTTCAGGAAATTAAAAAAGAGAAGGATGTCCAGGATGTTGAATGTTTTCACAACGTATGGGAAAACAAACCAAATGCTCTTGAGATATCCTTGGAGATTTAGTGCCATAGATTTATTATTATCGTTAGTATTTAAATTTTAAATATATATTTTTTATTTATAAATGCATTAATTCAAATATGGAGGGCAGCTGACACTGCTAATTAGTATTGGAGTATAAATACGGGTTCAAAGATATTGTCACCGCGAGACATCCTTCAAGTTAAAATTAAGCATCATCCCTCAAGTTTAAATTAAATACTGGTTCTTGGATGGTGGAAATAATTGCCATTTCTACAGTTTTGGAGTTTGAATTCAGGCTTTACTTCCCAGTATAAAGGGGAAAACAGAAGTATATTTGCTTCTCTAATAGACACCATGGCAATAATTCTCTTCATTTCTATTATATGAAATCCGAATGCCAAGCCAACAACACTCTTTTAGCACAAACCAGGCAATGAACTTCTGAAATGAAAATCTATTAATTAGTCCTCTGAATTAGACACTGTACAAGCTGTAAGCTGTCCTTTTACAGATAACTGTCCAAGCTAGGTGTTCCCATATTTACAACAATCAGAATAGTCAAGCGCTGCGTCAACACTAGTTTACAAAAGGGGACATGGCAATTCAATAAGCCTATGCGACACATATCAACAACAGTTCACCAGGAGGAAAAAGATTCAGTTAACTCTACTTCTTCCGCGAACCTGAACCAGAAACCTGCCTTCCTGCCAAACTGTGTTTCACATGAAACATATCAAAGAATGCATAGATAAGAGAGAGAGCAGTGAAACTTCATTGCTTATTATCGAATGCACAAATGATTAAAGAACAAGCTCCACATATATCACAAGGAACACATACTCGGAAGACCTGGAGCCTGATTCATCACTCTCATATGCAACTTTGTTCTTGTACAACTGAACTGCAATCAAAGGTTCACCGGTACCAACTGCTGGCTCAGGAGACCCCTTTAAGGCCAAGCTTCCACTGTATCTGGAGCTAATTCCTGCAAGCAAAGCTTCACATTGTGTCACTAATATAAATGTTAAATAGCAATACCGCTGTCACCTTAAGATCAGAGAGAACTCTGGAAGATCGGAGGTCTAATGGCCTAAAACTCCATGTAAAAAGCAGATGGTAGACTAGGTTAGTAGACAAAAAAGAAAAGAACAAGCATGAAATAAAGATGGATAGCTTAGAATAAATAGCTGCCTGAATTAACAGCTTCAAATAGGAGTGTCGTGCATTATAGAGAAACTCAATCCCCAGCATAAATGGAGAAAAGCTCAAGAGTTGGTAAGCTGAAGAGTTGGTAGAGTGGAGCACACATTGGATGGATAGATGCACAATATGGTTTCAAATCCTATTATCCCCCTGGACCAAGGACATAAGAAGATTTCTAACAAGCCCTACTAACTCTAACTACATCAAAAAGGTGAATCTGACTTGCTGGATGCTAACTGACCAGAGGATGCTACCTGACTGTTAAAAATAATAACAAAAGAAAACTTGAAGTGAAAACACTTCATGAACAAAAGAAATGTCCCTAATTGTCAGCCATGCACAGGCATTGGTGCTAGCACCACTGCGAAAACTCAGCAACTAAAAGCCATGATTCCTACATTCTTAGACAGAACCCTTACCAAGATTCACAAATTAGACAAAAGAAACTGACCACAATCAGCTTCCCAGAGTAATGATATAGGAAGTAAAGCAATTGTGTAAGCCAATACACATAGTATCTAGCAATTGCAGTTGATAAGAGATCAATAATAAGAACACAAGATTCCATGTTCTACTCATGACAAATGGAAGAGAGCAACAAGGCCAACTTGCTAATCATTTTGATTCTTCACCAGAGTAAGCCCCAAAAAGCATCAAACATTTCTAAAGCGATCCATGGAGCAATTCATAAATAGCAAGCACTAGCTCCCACTGTTAATCATAAAGAGCAATCAAAGACAGGATTTCAGTGGTTGGGGAATATAGTCCTAACTTTTCATTCCCTTTTCTTTTTATCAGCATCCAATCCACATTATGTTTCCCTAAGCATGGTTTGAAGGTTTTGAAGTCCAGCAGAAATGTAAATATTCCTTTCCATTTTCAATAGCATATCAAAGAAGATTTCTTCAATAGCATATCAGAAAGAAGATTGATCTTAGATTACAGTTGAAACAGAAACAGAAGAAATCATCCCAAGGAGACTTTTCCTTCAGGAAACATCCCAAGAAGGCTTTAAGTACATATGATGCAATATATTATGTATGTTTTATCAATTGCCACAAATGAATGGTAAGGTCACAAAAAATAACAAATCTACAAAATGTAAATTGATAAAACAAACTTACTCAGATCATATCAAAGGCAATAAATAAAAGTCACATAAGATAGATTTGTCGCCATGAAATAATCAAACATATCCAGTTAAAAAAGGGAGATAGGGACAAAAAGAATTAAATTAAACTCGATATCAAAGCATGCAATGAATACAATTACAAGCAAGAAATACAGCTTTGGTCAAAGGTGAAGTATCCAAATTCTTTTCTTATCTTTTGAATAGGTCAAGTGTTCAGAATATGTTGCAGAAGTTCAGGTCCAAGCTGTAAAGCAATTCAAGCTGCAGGTTAGAAGCTTCTTGAAAATAATCCACCCTGTTTTTATCTACCAAGTTATTTGCAGCTATTCATGCACAATGATGAATGGCTGTTGAAAATTAGAAAAAAAATCATTTTTTTTCATTAATTAGAATGTTTCTAAAAAAATATTACATTGCAAGCTTCAAAAGGGATTTTATGAGCAGCTAAGCTCAAAGCCTATAAACATTGCATGTTAGACAGAGTGTATAATGTGAAGTTGTCAGTTAACTTCTCTCCTCATCCTTTGTTAATATCAAGCATGATGTCTAATTGCAAAGAACAGAAGGATTTAAAGTTGTTGGACATTGATTAACTGGTATTTCACAAATGAGAAAAAAGAGTTACGCTTTTGTGGGAAAAAAGTACCAGGCAAGATGTGACTTCAGCATCAAAGAAATCTAACATCTACAGGAATTTTACATAATTTCCATTCAAGGATCAAAGGATATATAAATGGTATTTTCATGGGCATGCATCCATGGAATGATACATGAAACTCAAGATTGGCATTACAATCTTAAGCAATCATTTCCAGTAAAAAATGCACCTATGTTGTAAGCGATCCACCTTGTGGGAAGTTGGGGTGAAATATTGATCAAGCATGGAATAGACGCTAAAAGCAGGGAGGTTAAGGGATTGTTTTCAGTTTTCGGTCTTCAGACATTGCTCTGGTAATGTCATAGCAATCAAATTCAACGTTCGTCATTTTCTCTAAGAGCAGTAAGTTGGTTGAGTTCATGGCATCAAGGAAGCTGAGCTGAGCACTTGAAAGAGGATGCTTGGCACAGATTGTTTGGAGCTGCAAGGAGACTCACAGGAGTTTACTCCTAATCCTGTTGGCGTTGAAGCAATTCTGCATGACGCGATGATAATGACTTCTGAGGCTCAGTTATCACTTGTTTGTCATATAAGACATGCAAATAATGAAGTTGTGCATTTATGAGCCAGGTATCTGTACCAGTGAGCATCCCTTATGAATACTTTGCTTTGTCCCCTCATTCTGGAGGATTTGTTAGGCGGAAATACCAATTCGATGTAATTTGATTGTTATCAATTAACACAAAATTTACTGGTTTTTATTAAAGAATACGCATTGCAGGAAAAAAAATACCATCACAGACATTTCACTTATGTTTACAGGTCAGATTCCATGACATTCAGAAGAAACAACAGTTGTTAAGCAAAACACTTAAAAGGATAATTCCAAGAAGAAAAGAACATAACAAAAATATTATGACATTTCACTTATATTTACTGGTCAGTTTCCTTGACATTCAGAAGAAACAACTGGTGTTAAACAAAACACTATAAGATAATACCAAAGCATAGTTGTGAAGTGGATACCATAGTGCATATTTCTATCAGGGGGCATGTTTCAGATGCCCTATCTAATAAGCATATTTGTAAAGTGGGAAACATGTTTGAGATTCATATCATGACCAAATTTTGCACAAAAATTGTGGCTTATTGTGAATAGATATGCAACATATGAGCTGTTTGAAACACAGTTCTTGGTATGAGACCAATCAAAACTTCAAAAAGCCAATATACCTTGATATATTATAATGAGGCAGAAAACGATTGTGATGACCATGGCAGACAAGCTGCTGCTCCAAGATGATGTCTTTGCTGCTCTCATCTTCTTTAGTGCTTTAAGCCTTTCAATCCTGGCACGTTTTCGCATGGCAAGCTCAGTGATTTCTTTCATCAACTTCTGGTCAGCAGCATCCAGTGACAGACCTTTAGGAGGTCTTGGTGGCTTGGGGGGTTTTTTCAAATTCTTCTTTATGCGTTTCTCCACAACATCCTTCCTATCCAGAAAGGTTATGTTCTGCTGTCCCTCTTCTCCTTCTGAATTATTGTCTATCAACAACTCCACATTGTCAGCTGCAAGCTCACTAAAGTTTGATGAATTTGCCACTCCATGAAAACCCACGGCCCCAGTACATGCCCTCTTTAAAATTGTCTTGGTTTGTCCATTTGCTGAAATGGGATCGCTCATCTTATCTTCTTCGTTGGTTGTCCCACCACTTTCAAGATCAACTTCAAGCTCCCTTCCTCTCGAAACAAATTGACTCATCATTAAAGGTAGAAATTTATAACACTACTTTCCTGCTATTTACAAGTCCAACGCACTGTTATTATTGTCTTGTGAAAATCAAGCCCTTGTCGTAACACAAACGAAGGTTTCACCATGATCAAAACCTATAAAAGGAACTCTTCATTCCAAGCTAAAACAAAGACAACCCTTGATCAAATGTACTATCCGAATTTACCACAAAAACGAAATGCAGAGAGGCCCCGTCTTCAGGAAGTGTTTTCTCTTATCACCCATAATTTCTCAACCATGTTGAATTATCTTTGTAATCTCTCTCTACATTTAAAAAGACCAAATATTTTCAACCAAACCTCAAACAATCAACAGAACCCAGCAAGCCAGAACCTATTATGTTGAACATAAAATTTCAATGCTGTAACAATACACTTGAAAATGCCAAAAAGACAAATATAAGAAATGAGAACAAACAGAAATAGCAAATATGAAACGATCCATATCTGATATCACCAAAAAAGATTCCCTTACGCTAGCATTGTCTGAAACTTTCGAATTTAGTGATTGTTTCTTCGCTATGTTCAACTTCATAAAGCAATTCTAATAGCCCAGAAACCAGAAGAACCAAAAAAAAAAAAAAGGTACCTTTAGCTTCGATGGAGTAGGAGGTTCGTGAAGGGAGGATTAAACGTGGGCTTCGTCTAAAGATAAAGGTATCCCTAAATTTCGAGGGTTTCCCTTCGCTTCCTTTACTTTATAATTAGCATTCAGCATTCCTTTTCTTTTGTTTCTTAGCATTCAGCAAACAGCATTTACGGAAAGCAGTCCAAAAATAATACGCTAATCTAGTAAAGTACTCCACTCGCTCGCTCACCAAAATAATTATAATTATAATTATAATTAATTCTACATGTAATGTAATAACAAAGCAATATGTGCAAAACACACAGCAGAACCGAAGGAGGAGCCTTTAATTAATTCCTTATTTGGTAGTGCGATTTTCAAAAAAATAAAAAATAAAATTATAGATTAATTTTTTAAAATAAAAAAAATAAAAAATAAAATTATAGATTATTTAAAAAAAAAGATACTTGAATATAATAATATTTTTTTATTTTTTAAAAATTATTTTTAACATTAACATATTAAAATAATTTTAAAATATATTAATTTAAAATAAATAAAAAATTTAAACTTTTTTAAAAATAATTTTAAAATATAGGAACACGCAAACCGTAGTAAGTTTTAATTTAGATGAGCTTGTTTTTATGTATAAATTTTTTTATTTTTTTAATTATTTTTTTATAAGTTTTGATATATTAATATTAAAAATAATAGTATATTATTTTAATATAATTTTAAATAAAAAACATTTAAAAAAATAACTATTATACAATTATAAATACATGAACGAAGAAAAGAAAAGTAAAAATGCAAATTGACGACCCCAAATCACCTTCTATTATCAATTTAAGTGGGCCACGAGAATGACAAAAACAAAGTCCATTATCCCACGCTCCCAGTGGCCGGCTTTGTCTTGCTTGACCAAGTGACCTGAAACATGGGCTCGTTTTAGCAAATGGAATCCGGTGGTGGGGTTATCGGAAAGTCCGCCAGAGTAGAGACACTGAGAGTAGGTAACCTGAAACCATATTGCGAGTCTGTTTGAAAATATAATATAAATTATGGTTTTTAAAATTTTAAATTGTTTTAATTTTTTTGAGAAAAAAAAAGAATTAAAAAAAATATATTTCTGATAATAAATCATTTAATTATTATTAACATGAATCATTATCATAAAAAAAAAAAAAAAAAAAAAGTCTGTTTGAAAATATAATATAAATTATGGTTTTTAAATTTTTTAATTTTTTTTTATTAAAATTTATTTTTTATTTTTTTATATTATTTTAATATATTAATCTCAAAAATAATTTTAAAAAAATAAAAAATATATCATTTTAATATATTTTTAAACAAAAAATATTTTAAACCATAATTATTATCATAATCTTAAATAAGCTTGTGTTTGTCTCTCTCCAAAGTGAATGTGGTCTCCATGAAGATATGTAAAGCAAATAATAAAATGAAAATGTAATTCATAGAAATAGATGATACCTGAATGAATTAAAATTAAAATTAAAATTATTTTTTTCTTAAAAAATAAAGGGATTAGCAAAACATTGTGGAGTAGGGGTGAAAAAAAACTAACAAACTAATTAAACCAAAAACATAAAAAAAACATAATTGAAAAAATCAAACCATAAAAAAAACTAATTAATTGGATTAGAATATTTTAAAAAAATTCAGTTCAATTCAGTTCAGTTTTGGTTTCATAAGCATGAAATCAAAAAACTAAATTGAACCGGTTTAGTTAAGAAATAAACCAAACTGAACTAAAAAGAACCCATTAGAAAGCCCAAAAAATAATATAATTTTTATATTTTAATATAAAATAATCAAATCAAACTGAAACCGGTCAGTTGAATTTTGATTTTTAATTTAAAATAACCAAACCAAAAGTGGTTGGTTGGAACCGGTTTTGGTTCAGTTTTATTTTTTTAATATTTTACAAAATTTTGATTTTTTTTGTTTTTATAGGTAAAAACTATATCCCTGTGTTAAATGGAATTGAAATATTTAAAAATTGTTTTAAGATATCATTTATTTTTGTTTTTATAGGTAAAAACTATATCAAACCGAAAATAATCACCCTTCTTGTGGAGTATAAGTGCTAGAATCCAATGGTGTATTTACTATTTTATCCTTAATTATTGTTTATATTATCATCATGCATTTATATAAAGATAGCCCTGTGTTAAATGAAATTGAAATATTTAAAAATTGTTTTAAGATATCATTTATTTTTACATTTTAAAATGTTTTTTTAAAAAATAATTTTTTTGTGTGTTTTTATTTTTTTTAATGTGCCGATATAAAAAATATTTTTTTTCAAATATAAAATACTTTAAAAATTAAAAAATAACCATTATTAATTTCAAACACCAACAAAATTTCAAGAATTTTAAGCCAAAACAAAAAGAAAGTTTCACAAATAAATATACTCGAACATAATGATTAATATCAAAACCTTGATGAAGGTGCTTGCAATGTTAAGTGCATCACCATTTTTAAGTAAGAACTCATAATAATTTCTCACAAATCCCTGTATATAAGAGGACTTCTAACCTATGTTGCATCTATAAGATTTTAAAATAAACAATTTAGGGTGATTGGCAGTGTGGTTATAGTTGTTTTTTAACATATTTTTCACTCAGAAAAATATTAAAAAATTATTTTTGACATCAGTGTATTAAAATGATAGAAAAACACCCAAAAATATTAATTTAAAGCAAATAAAAAAATTCAATTTTTTTCAAAAATATTCTGGAAATGCAAAAAAAACTAGACATCAATGACAATTTTGTAAAAGGAAAAAGCAAGGAGAAACAATATGATGTTTGACATGCTTTCTATCTCTTTCTCTAAGACCTTATGTTTGCTCAACAATCCATGCAAATAAATTAACAAAAAAAAGAATGAGTTGAGGTCAATAAGCTTATCAACAAAAAAATTTAATTTTTTTCAAAAACATTCTGGAAATGCAAAAAAAACTAGACAACAATGACAGTTTTGTAAAACGAAAAAGCAAGGAGAAACAATATGATGTTTGACATGCTCTCTATCTCTTTCTCTAAGACCTTATGTTTGCTCAACAATCCATGCAAATAAATTAACAAAAAAAGAATGAGTTGAGGTTAAGAAGCTTATCAACAAGCATCAATGCTTGCATATTCCATCTGCATGCAATCAAGCACTTTTTATTGCCAATCACTCATTGGTTTTGGCGTAGAAAAGACTCACAACTTGATAAGCAACATCTTTTAATCTAGATTTCTAATAAAACATAAGGCTAGAGGCTCAAAGTCACCTCTCGAACATCAGAAATACTGCTACAACCGAGCACATATTCAACTCTTAGCTTTGCTACAAGTCTCTCGACCTCAAATTTAAGAAAAGTAACTTTAAGGTCACTAAAAAAGACCTTGAGAGATAGGGGGCATAGTCCACATAGAGGAGTTAAGTATAAGGCAGTTGTCTACAAAGTAATAGTTTTACTGTTCATTATTGGTGTAGTGTTAGCCTCTATTCATAATCCAAAATACTCCAAATGGA